CCCAGAGTGATCTACCCCCAAAACAAAGTACAGTGCCTTAGGACTATTAGCTGCCCAAATGACATCTTCTTCATCAAGGCTGGACGAAACGGGGCCTGTATACCCAGTTGTAGTAAGACCAACAATTGATAACAGGAGGGGGTTATATTGTCTTTTATCTCTTGTCTTTGCTACCTGGCCTTTCATGAACTTGATCCCATTCTTTACACGGGTGGGGAGACCTGTACCCAATGGTGTCCAGCCTGACCCAGTCCAGTGGGAGACCCAACTCCATGAGTTGCACCATCCCACCCCTGGAACACTCCGGTTGTTCACACATTGTCTGTTTATTATCGGCTTTGGGCAGAGATAGACATTATATCTCCTCCAACCAGAGGTGTCACATCCACACTTGATCATATCACATAGATCAAACTGGAATGTAACATTGGTGCCCTTAATGTACCGTAATTCAAGCCCACCATAATTGAACAGGCAATAATCCAGCTCCTTCTGCTGGTTTAAGTTCCTTTTACCTTGGGCAATCCTGGTGTGTTCCTCCCACCAAAATATGGGAGTAACAACCAGCAAGGTTATCAATATGAGAATGCCCAAACCCCCCCTTTGTGGCGGGTACCCACCATACCAAACCATCTTGATTTCTTCCTTTGTTTGGGGCTATATGGATAATCTAGTTTCCCTGAATATAGGCAGTCCTGATTTAAATGAATATTCACCCAATGATGTACAAAAGGATGAGATTGTTTATTTGGGGCTTTTGCATCCTTATCTATGAAGGTAACTTTTCCCCTGTCACTCCCTACTGTAAATGTGAATGGTCCTACTTTCACTTTGCAAAAATATCTAGTTTCAGGTATGAAATCAGTAACAAATGGAAGCCAAGGGCCCTGGAGCAATCGTCCAGAAGTATCAAACAAATCCCAGTGAGTAATGAAATCTAACTTTGGTACCGGTGGTGTTGAAGTGTAGAGACCGTGTCCTCTATATAAGTCAATGTCCTGTGTGTATAAGTCTTCGTCCTCTTCCTCCGCTAGGTGGAAAGGGCTGCTGTCACTGCTCATGTAGGTTGTCACCTGCTCGTCTGCTTCTATGCCTGGTCTTCTGTCTTCAACACAACAGGGTAGACTACCTGTGTGTCGATCAGGTGAGAGGATTATTCTGCCCCTTTTCTCACCTGTTTGAGGTCTGCCTGGACTTCTGTCAGCGGTCTCGTTGGTGCCTCCGCAGGGACACACTGGCTCCAGTGGTACCACGTCTCTCCCTTTCCCTGTAGGCGGACTGCGTGAGATGTCCTTTCAGTCACCTTGTAGGGCCCAGTCCACCGTGGCTCACTCCACTTTCGTTTGATCACTCTCAGCAGGACCCACTCAGCCGTGTGGGGATCAGTGTGGACGCCAGGAGACGTGGGGACAGTAGCTAGACTGGTGAAGCTGCAAACAAGAGATTTTAATTGTTCATATAATTGGTGGGTGTTGTGTGTGTGTGATAGCTTAGATGCTGGTCCTAGAAACTGTCTGCCAATGATGAGCTCATATGGGGTCAACCCAGTCGTGGAGTTAACAGACTGCCTTACTGACATAAGGGCCAATGGCAAAACATCTACCCAGTTTAGTTTGGTCTGTGCACAGATTTTAGCCAATTTTTGTTTAAGTGTAGAGTTCATTCGCTCTACTTTCCCTTGCGACTGGGGGTGATAAACACTCCCAAACCCATGTTTCAGCTCTAGAGCTGCTTCCACCTCCTGCAGGTCTTTGTTTTTGAAGTGGGCACCGTTGTCTGACCTGATTTTTTCAGGGAATCCATGACATGGTATATAATCGTTGATGAGGTGTTTGATCACTGTTTTGCTGTCCTCCTTTTTAGCTGGCCACGCTTCTGGTCAGCCAGTAAGTCTATCTACACACACCAAGAGATATCTCATACCCCTCACTGTGCTCCCCATGTCTGTGTAGTCAATAGTCACTTCCTGTCCTGGCCTTGTCATGATAGGGAACCCACACTCAGGCCTCAGTGTAGGTCTGGGATTAAAATGTGAGCAGATAGAGCACTCCCTCACATAATTTTTTACCATATCTTGTAGGAAAGGATGCCACCAATGGCACAAATTTCTCATAATTTGTGTGGTCCCCACGTGGCTGAGACCATGTGCCTCTGCCAGAGCAGCTGCTCGCAAGCCTAATGGCAAAATTGGGCGTCCATCCAGACCTACCCACAACCCAGACTCAGCCTGACAGCCACCTCTTTCCACCCAAACAGTCTGTTCCTCAGGGGAAGCCTTTCCCTGCTCTATTTTCACCCTGTCACTGTCCAACTTCCACATCACATTTGGGTCTCCCTCACCCTGAGCAACAAGCATACTCTGAGGTCTGTATCCTGCTGCTTGTTTTGCTGCAGCATCTGCTGCCTGATTTCCCTTGCTTATCTGATCTTGTCCTGTGCTGTGACCCTTGCATTTAACCACTGCCACCATACTGGGTTGCCGCAGTGCTTCAGCAAGAGCTCTCATGGCCTCTTGGTGGC